CAGAGGCGTCTCCCAGGCAGGACAAGCGTGAAGTGTGAATTATTAAAGCGAATATACGGTTTTATGGCCTTTCTTCAACTTGTACATGTTGTAAATGCTTTGGTGATCCTGCACTAATTCCTTGACCCATGCCTTGCACCGTGCTGTACTTTGTTCCTGAAATGAGCTCTTCACAACTCCTGTTTCTTTCCAGAACAGATTGACGTTTTGCTGCCATAATGTCTCAATGTGCAGATCTACAGTATACTCGCTCCCTCTTACAGTGCCCCTTGATCTTGGAGATCTTAATTCCACAGAATGTGGGAGCGTCGCATGGCTTCAACCTGTCCCCTGCAGTTGCGATGGCAGTGCCAGCTGAGCCTGCCTTTGCCAAGGGTCTTTTTAGCACGGTCAGAAATACTGCGCCAATAATCCACAAGATTAAGCTGCATTGTGTATTTTTCTCCATTGTAAAACTCATCTATTTTGCCTTCTGAATTGTCGGAAACGTTATTAGAGTGAAAGTTCAGTTGGATGTCCGTTGGACTTTGCACTTTTTAGAGGTTTATAATTCCGAACATGAATAAAGCAAGGCATAGATATTGCCTTTACACAACTACGATTTAAAATATTTAAACTTTGCAGAGCTCATTTTTAGACTTCACACTTGCATTTGAAATTGATTAGCTATAACTTTTTCCATCTACATGAGACTACAGTTTGTTAAAACTTTTGATGCTATTTCATGTGAAATATTTACTTTCTATTAGCAGAGGGAAATCCAACATGCTTAAAAACAATAACACTTCGGTGCAGCAATAAGGTGGTTCTTCTTAATAATCAAGCTGTTAAAAAGTGAAACATCTGCCTGAAGAGTTTGGATTACACTGGGGTACCTAAATCTACAGCTTTTCAGCTTTTATTGATTGCTCTTAAAAGGGCCCCAGAGTCAAAACATTGTCAAACATGTGTATGTCTACAAAGTACACAGAAACATCAACGGTGTTTCTAGCCCAGTTCCCAAGTCGGTTTCTAAATGAGTGTTGTAGCTATTTTTAGAATCCTCTGCACTCTTATCCTCACTGGATTTGAGGAGTACGCAACAGAACTTGACAAGGTGTTGATTTTTCTGAAATAAAGTAAATGTGTAGCTGGACTTTCAAATGGATTATTATGGTTTACAAATGTAGGCTTTGAAAAAACAAATGGAGGCTAAACATTTCAAATCAGTTTGTTAGAAAACACTCAATTTGTTATAAAAGCAAAAATGTCATTAAGAGAATTGGTGTATTTGAGGGTTTCGCCCTTAACTAATTTTTAGTACCTAACAAGTTTCATTAGCGAACCACTGGTGGGGAAAAAAACGTGATTAAATTTATTAAATGATCAAATACTGACCGAATGACATTATGATCAATGACACGGTTGCCGGTGTGTTAATATCCATTTGTGACAAATGTTAACTGCCAGGGCTAGTTCTCAACTTGTTGGTTGTAAAGTAAGATAATCGCACAGAAATTTCCTAAACAGGTTTTGAGAATCTAAAATAACGCTGACCACATCTCGCCCTTTGTCATTTTTACGTTGTTGGAAGTGGACTGGTGTGAAATCCCTGCCCGTTTGCAGTTGCCTGCCTCTCCATTAGGAGTGATGGCAGTGAGGTGAAAGGGTCTTCCTCCTTGTATGGTGCTGAGCGGATTGGTTTGAAAGGTGAACCATGTGTCTCTGCAGGCCTACTGTACATAAAGGTTAAGTTTCTGAATGAGCTCTTCTGATGTTGTGAAGTGGAATCCAGCCATGTGATTTGTCGTTCCACGTTTCTTTGATTTCTTATATCACCTGTCTGAGGGAATGTGCCCTGGAAGAACACATAATTATAGATGAGGCCGAACCTGTGAAAGTACACAGTGCTTCCAAGAATTACTTTATTCTCTACAAGCGCCTTTTAAGCCCGGATCATTTTACACGGGCACGGTGGTATATTTGAACGAATGGATGTTGTTTTGCTGCACCTTAAAAGCGTTTCAGGCACACTTGTCCACTCATACTTGCAGATTCAGATCCAAACCTTTTGACTTTTTAAATGAGGTAAAAGCAGACCGAGCTTCGATAACATGATACACAAAATGTACATTCTAAGGCTTGCGTTTGTAGCCTTTTAAACAACGTTACTGGAACATCTGAGTGAAGTACCATCTTCAAGGGTACAACAGCAGCCCCCTCCCCCGAGGATCTGAACCTGCAACTTCCTACCTTTGAGTACTGTGCGCTAACCACTACTACTGCTGCTTTCATTTCAGTGGAGCCAAGCCTAATTGCACAACTCGTACATTTATTGGCTATTTCACAAGAACGAGTGTTTTAAGTCTTGAGATTTAATCTTAGAATGACGAGTGGAAAATAATCCGAACTCCGCTGTCCGGTGTGCAGACCATAGACACTATTATTAGTATTGGGCGAGTACCCCAGCACCACAGCAACTTCTAGCGCCCAGTATAAGAGATGAGCCACATGAGGTAGCTGTGAGACATTTAGCCACTGTGTCTGAATTCTCTTAACCTCCTTTCCAACTGTTGTGACCATTAATGTGGCAATACTGCACAATGAACTAAAGAGAAGGGCAAACTTTGTCTACTGAAGAAAAGTAGTGGTGAGAAACCTCAACAGTTACACTGTACTTTAAAGGTTATGCCATCTGTCGCAAGATATGGTTCTAAGCTTCTCTTGACAGCACTAAGCCTATCACACGTGAAGGATGTTTTTACAGTAAGAGGAAAGTATAACTGCATAAAAATTCCCACAAATAGGTCAAAGCCATCCTGCTAGACTTATAGATATTGCATTTCTTACAGGTGACCAAATGCAGTTCTCACTGAAATCAGAATGGTTGCTGGGACAGAGATATAATTGTATTGGTTTTCTACACATAGGAATAGAAAACAGGACCTTTGGGAGTGCATTTAGGCCAATTTAATACATCAGTTCACAGATGTACTTGTCGAATTGTGTTGCTTGACCACAATTGGTAACTTACGCTAAACATCAATCTTTTAAATACAGCTCTTAGGCACTGGGGATTGTCCTCTCAATACCTTCTTGATCCTCAGACTGGGTGTGTGATAAAAATCACATCCCCACACCCTTCCTGTCCTCTTCCTTAAAGCACAGAATTTTAATCACGGTTTCACGGATATCTTAGGGTACTTAGAAACAAAGGCAGTAAATGGGGTGTGAAATAACTTAAGAGTGGGTACATTTACCTACAGTTCTGTTTATAACAGGTAAGATTTAACAGCAAATGTGTTTATAAGAACTAACTTCAGTTTGAATTTATCAAACTCCTAATCAAGAGCATTAACATAAGTCCTCCAAACTGGAAAGACTGAAAACATTTAAGTTGTAAAACCACAATACACTCTTCTGTATGTTTTAGAACACAAACAGGAATTTCGTTTGTAATGATTTCTAATTCTCACAAAAAATGAACACCAGTCTGTGAATTCACTGAAGATGTCACTGTGTGATTTAAACCAACCACAGAACATCCCATTTGATCATGCCTTACAGAGATGATCTTTAGCACAATATGGAAGACTAGAGACTTAATAACTACATCCAGCATAACTGTTTTCTGTGGGCAGCAATACATTGTACAACATAATGCTAAGCAAGATTATTACTAATATTGGAATGATTTCACACAAGAAATCAGAAATATTAAAAATGACTTCATGTGCCACTTTGATGAGGGCTGATGTCACAATTCAGGTAACAAGGTGCTATCCATTAATCGAGGATTGCAGGAGGGTTATTTTTCTTACAAATGATGAAATGCTCTGCCTTTTGGCCTGTCGCAGATCTTTGTCATATTCCATTAGTCAACGTCCCCGACTATCATGGGCTTGCTAACCCTTTCATAGAAGCAAATAATAGTGAAGGTGAACTGTGGATGGTGATGAAACAGATGTTATTCACTCTTTCACTATGGCAAGTCACGTGGGCTTTTCTGATGTGCTTTCCTGTACCGGTCACAGATATTTAAGAGACTGGGTGCTTGAGCTTGGCCATGGGTTTCACAAAGAGCACTCCGTTTATGATTGAAATGAGCCGGACATTCGGAGTGATTCAATGTGGGAGAGGCCATCCAAAAAACAATCAGATTACTTATCTGCAGTGCTGTTATACGACATTCATTGCATCGCACGTCAGTAGAAGCAGATAAAAAGAATCAAGCCAGCAATGTTGAAACTGAATAGATTCACCCCTTCAAACTGCTCCAAATCTGGTTTATACACTCACACTGATCAGCCAATTGAGGATATTTTTATGTGCCGTACTTTTATAAGGGGAAGGCTCTAAAATTGTTTTTGCAAAAATGTCACTACAGAAGGAAACCTGATCTGAAAGAGCAGAAAATGTCTGATTTTAAATACTTTTTGTTTTGATTAATGGATTTTCTTTGGCACTCAGTTGGTAAAAGGATAAATCTATTTCTGCTGTATCTATTGCGTTATTGGTATAACTAACACAGGTGGAATTGTTCGCAAAGTACTCAACAGCCCTATTAATGTAATATTTAAATGTAATTTATATGCTGCCTAATCACCATATATAGATGGAAAAAAAATGCCATTGTTTCTGTCTCACGGGATACTGTTTTATGAAAAACATGAGTTTAAAATGTACTAAAATGTCAGAAATTCAGTTCTTGTGGAAAATGCTGACTGTTCTGCTCAATGCCCCATAAATTTGACAATCCAACCATTCTGTTTCATAGATGTCATGTTGTGCGAAAAAGTCTTCAGGTTACTGCAGCTCCACTTCTGTATCATTCACAGGTATGATCAAGACCGAGGCAGCAATTTTTCCTATGAATTATATAACCTATCTTGGATTAACTTGACATGTTTATATTTAATCAGATCTTGACATTTTAGCCTCATCAGTTTTCCAGGTTGACTTCAACACAGATTACAACGTTCTCATACACAGACTGTGTCCTGAATGAACTAGTCAGAAAATATTTTTAATTTTTTAATTTTTCACCCATTTTGCACAATCAGCGTGTACTAGACATTACACATTTTAGCGACCTATTTACAGCCAAGAAAAAGCAAACATTTGTTGTTATGGAGCATCACACATGCAGAAGATGAGAGCAGGAAGAGGCAGAGGCAGGGGGCATCTTGCCTCTCAGGGATGGGCAGCCTTCGTCCTTACGGGCCAGAATCCAATAGGTGACATTTTTTTCAAAATGGGTTTATGACTGGAGGCAATGCTGCTCGAGCTCTGAGAAACAGTCACGTCTGTCAAATGAGGTGGTTTACAAACGAGAGGATTCTGCAGCCCAGGTGACGGGATTTGCCCATTCCTGCGGCAGGGCATTAACAGCAGGTTAAAATCTTGTCTGGTGAGACAGCACCACCTACAGTACTACTGAAGCCAAGCTGCCTATGTTATCTCATCGCATTTTACATTAATATTTGCATCTTTTCCTGTTACCTCCGTATTTGTCATCCTCTCCTGCATTTTGCAGGAATTGATATTTATCTCCAGAAATACAGCTGGTTTGTTACTGAAAACCATAGGGTTTTTAGTAAAATTCCATTACAGAGCATATGCATGAATTGGATGTTGTATTTGTAGCCTTAAATCCTTAAATCAGAATCCTTAGTTGCCAGACCTATCAGAAGAAAACACTGCTAGATTCAATTCTTCAGCCAGTGGTACTAAATAAGTCCCTTTTCCCTATTTGTCTTTTGAGATACTGAGTGTCTAACTCTCAGCAACTGCCTCCCATTTCTCAGGATCATAAATATTTTCATCTTATGGAAAGGAGTGAATATTTAGAGAAAGGGGGAACTGTCACCACTCTTATGGTTTGACTGCCTGGATATGTTTACAGCTTTTACATAGAGCATAATTCAACCACTTTACTTTAACTTGTGTTTGTAAATACAAAAAGAGCCTACAAATCTGTAATCTACAAATTACAGTATAAAGCAGCACTTAGTACTTTGGTTGCAACACATCAAAATTTGTCCCACAAGAGACATGCTGGCTGGTAGCAAAGTCTAAGGCCTACGACATGGCTCAGTTCTGTTCACGTTTGACTAGATCTTTGCCTATCCAGTTTCAGACATCCAAAGTAGAGCCTGGTGTTATCGAAAAGCTAGGTGAACAGAACATGACTTCAGAAAACTGCTGCAAACCTAACAGGTTCAGCTAAAAAAAAAACTACAAACTAATGAAACCAAAAATAAAGCATGGGTTCCAAAACAAAAACACTTAAGAAACCATCCGCTCAACTGCAAACTTTAAACAAAGTAAATGCCTTAAAAATCAATATAAGTACAAAAAACATTGTAAGCAAAAACCTAAATCTAGCAGTATTAATGCATAATGCATTCCATTTGCTTGAGTCTGTCTGGGTACTTATTTGCCCATCACAACACTGATGACTGTTTATATACTACTGTATATCTCTTCCACAAGGGGTTAAATGTGTTTCCTTATGTTTGGTGGGACAGATCGTGCAAAGCAGAAACATTCTATTTCACAGCATGTATTGGTAAAATTATAAAGAAAATCCTAGAGAATTTGGAACAAATACATTTATTAGCAACTAGAACAGTATGTACCCAACATTCAAAGGATCTTTTTATATAAATAGTATTTAACTCACTGAAATATGAGGAACAAATCACAGACATTTATTTTGGGGGTAACACAGAACATATTTTAATTTTTTCTTCCAAGAAGTCATTCAGTACTGTTCTTTTTGTACTTGGGTTATGCAGATGTTACTTAAAAGATAAAAGCATAAAACACCACGAAGGCATTGTTTTAAAATTCTGCAGCAGCATTTAAAAGACAGACAGACAAAAACAGGTCAGCACCTGCTGTTTTCAAGTATTACAACATCCGTAGTCAAACGATTGGAAACAGCCAGGATCTTTACGTTCTTCCATAGGAAGGTCATTTCTTTTCATTAAAAATTTTTTGGCAAGCTCAGAATGAAAATTCATCTAATTAAAATTGTGGGTGTGGCTTCCATCATAACTAAAAAGAAAACAAAAATCACCTACCATGTCATGGTCTAAAGAGCCATCTATACAAGTCTGTTGCACGCTGTTATGTGAAAGATGAACAAATTGATAAGGTTTTGTGGCAGACAAAAAATGAATTACTAAAAGGTCCAGTCAGCCATTTAACTATTACAGAGATGACTTTACAAAATGATCTTTTACCTACTAGGTGATGATTATGTCCCCTCAGTTTCTGTTTTCTCTACCACTGGCTGTATTTCAGCTCCATCCTGCAGCTCATTCTTTTCATTGTCTACATCCCTGGGAGACGCATGCTTTTCGGGGCCGTCCAGCTTGTCTTTCTCCGGGGTGGGCTTAAGGTCCGTTTCCTCTCCGTTCACCCGCAGCAGTTTGTCCTGCTTTTGGTTCTCGTTTGTCCCCTCGGGAAATTTCAGCGACTGCTGCTGAGGGGATGCCCAGGCCTCGCGGTCGCGCTCACGCCCGAACCGGCTGCCGTTCATTTCCCTGCGGAAGTCAAAATCCCTATCGTCCCGGTCTCTCTGCCTCTCCCAGGGGCGGCGCCGGTCGTCAAAATCCCGGTGGACGTCGGGCTCAAACCCGCGGTTCCAAGAGGCTCCTCCCCGGCCTTCAAAGCGGAAGTTCGCCCCCGAGCCTGGCCTGTCGTCGTGAAAACCCTTTGGGGCGCCAACGGGCACCCCCCGCAGCTCGCGCTCGTCAAAATCTCCCCTCGGGGGGCCCCAGCGGCTCTCGGATCGAAAACCACTGCCAGGCTCCCTTCTGAGGTTCTCTCTGCTCTCTGCTGGCGCACCCCTGACCCCATCCCTTCCTTCGAGCCTATTAACACTCTCTCGCTGTTCTGCAGAAGCCCTCAGGAGGCCCGCACTCTGTTTCTCGACAGGCGGAAAGCGATAATCCTGGTCACCCTCTTGCTGAATATTCTCGTTTCCCCTGGGTCTCCCATCCTCCGACTTGCTCACACTATGGCCCGTCTGGTTTGCCGGTCTGCCAAAAGTTCCCTCGGGCCGGCTGAAGTGATCGAGCGGAGGGAATGGGCCGCGGGGCCTCGTCTGCAAAGAGGAATCGAGCATCGAGGTGGGAGGCATGTTGTTTGGTTGAGGAGGTAGTCCAGGCTGCATTAAGAGTGAAAACCTTGGGCCGGGAGGGGGTGGTATCATACCGGGCCGAATATCTAAAGGCAACAATCCGGGCATCCTTTGGCCAGGAATGTGTGAAGGATGCAGAGGGTGTGGCAGGGACATCGAAGGGTGCATGCCTAGAAGGCTAACAGAAGCATTCTGGACATCACTTTGGATTCCTACAGAAAAGAGCAGAACAAGTATGTGGATAAGGTAAACTGAAGAGACCATTTGAGAGATCATTTGTTCAAAAACTTCAATGCACGAGAGACAAACTTTTAAAATACCTAGCGTCAGACACATTTCCTAATAGACCTGCGAGTCTGTAAGGGCTGTCAGGGGTTTCTTACCTTGCACTGTTTTCGCATCCGTTGAGGCATTTGACTTCTCTGTCGCCTGGGCTGATTTTTCTTCCGCTGCGCTGCTGCTTCGCTGCTGTGGCTGGACTCCAATGGGATTAAAAGCTCCAGTTCCTGGGATAGCAGGAGGAACAAAGCTCCCCGGAATGGTACTACCCGGAGGCATGACGGCTCCAAAAGGTGAATCCTTCACACCCTCCTGGGCTGCAGAAATCGAAGGCTGTACCAAGGCTGACAACAAACAAACAACTCTTAAATGACTTGCACGGATATTGCAAACAGAAAACACAGATTTCCTTCTCCGAACAACAACAAAAATCCCGAGCTAAGTTACTGACATAAATTACAGTTGTCCTAGAAATTGTAAACTCTTAACACTTGTTTGGTTAGATGCAAAGCACATATGGTATGTGCAGGTCATGTTGCTTCACAGATGCAGAGAAAAGTCAGACACTTGCATTAAACTGCACATCAGAAAATAAGTGGTTTTAAACATTTCACTTAATTTAAACTTACATGTTTGTACTGAAGGAATTCCAGGTCCTACAGCTGTTGGTGGAACTACAGGAGGCGGCATGTAACCTTAATGTAAAAAATATAAAAAAATAAAACTAGATCAACAGTCTTCTGTAACCTGACATTAAATTGCCATGCCAATTCAGAATGAAACTATTTGTACAAAAAAGAATAGCTACAGCAACTTCATCAATTGGTTCAATCACTGGGCTGGTCTGAAGCAAAAGCTCTATTATTATTTATTAAGAAATAATTCAAATTACGAATTAAAACATTACACCAACATTCTCATAGTTTTCAGTATTCTAGATTAAGAAGGAAAAATAGATTTCTTCCATGAGTCCCTAACACATTTCTAGCAATCTTTATATTCTGAACAGGAACACATCCTGTTGTGCTCAACACTACAATACTCCTACACTGATACAAAACCCACGTTCTCAGACCTAGATACAATAATTCAACCGGCCTAAATCAGAAACCCATGTGTTCTCAGAGATGCAGAAGAGCTCAGACGGTCCACAATAAACAATACACAAACATATTTGTAATAAAGCACGGAATAAAAGAAACAATGCCTGAAAGGCTTGACACCAAATACTGCTGTACCTCCGAAGGAAAGAAAGTCCCTGAGGGTTTCTACACCCAGAACATGTGCGGGCGTAATCCCTTACCAGGGGGCGGCTGGGAAGCATTAAATCCAGCCCTCAGAAACGGAGGAGGAGGCCCAAAACCTGGAGGAGGCATCGTCATGGTGACCGGAAACGCTGGGGGCACCAGCCCTACCGCGGGAACTCCCTGAGCCACTGGAATCTGGAATTGAACCACACCGCTTTACAGCAACAGGACGTTCTAGCTTGCACTTCGAGAGCTGGAAAGATATTTTATGGGACAGTAAACACCAACACCAAGGAAGGCGTGCCCATTAGACAACTAAACCTGAAGTCAACCTACTTTAAGCTGAGGAGGAGAAGATCACAAAACGAGAAAAAAGGAATAATTCCACACGATACACCTGGACAGGTGGAACCTCGTATTTGATGCACTGAGAAGTCACACTAAAACAACACAGCAACAAGAGAGCTTCAAGCAACTATTGCTGTAATGACGCTTTAGATGTGCAATTGACTACGCTACTTAAACAGTCATAAAACTTCAAATCATCCGGAAGAATTCCATAGTACTTGCTTTTCTGGACAGGAGAACATTCATCGAAATGCATTTGCTAGTTACCCATTCAGTACCGCACTGTTTTCACACGCATCTGAAATAATACAACCAACAAACACTGATAACAGGCTCGCGGTGAAGTGTTGATCTTATACGTGTTCCAGGTGACTCCAGCAGCCACCCGAGGCGGTCCCAGGAAGAGCTGGGAGAGCACTGACCTGAACGGGCAGCATGGCGACCGGCTGCGTGAAGGCGTCTGGCTGCGAGCTGGCCACAGAGCTGGGGTCCACACTCGCACTCTGGCCCTGGCTCTCCTTGGACGCCTCCGCGCACTTCGCGGCCTCCCACTCTAGAGAAACAGCCACCACGAAAGATCTTCAGAGCCAGAATGGAGACGACTGAACAAATCGGGGCCGAGGCATGCGAGACCTTATCAGCTTATTCGTTATTAGTCCTACTTTTAAACTGGAAACACAATGAGGGAAAAATAGTTTCTTTTTCTTAAAACATTTAGATGCCAGCCTCTGACCTGCCAGCCCCGAGCCATTCACTTTGTTTGACTTGGTACTAGCTCTGCAGGGAAGTCGATGACACATAGTGTCGGTGCTGCCTCCCTCAGTGATGTCTTCACAAGCCTTCAAAGGGCAGGACGCTGCTGGGTGAGAAGACTGACTCATCCCAACTCTGCTCCAATTGGCTCAGTGCCCCTTTGTGCCGTCACCTTTGTAACTCAGTGTCGCATGTCCCACAGAAATACATTAATGGACTGCAGCTGTCATTAATTTTGTCTGAGCCTCCAAAATCAACTGAACTTGAACACGATTAAAATGAAGACATCAGCTTCCTGGGTATGGTCTAAAAACACACTCATGTCAGGTCTAATGTCAACACTCTTTCATTTACGATGGTGTCTGTAGTTTCAGGATTTTCCACACGCTGGATTACCAGGGTGGAATAGGTACATCAATTTTTCATGATGACAACATGACGACAGGACATCTGCACAAACATTTTATTCCCAAAACGTAAGTTCACGTTTTGAACAAAAGAACCATCACTGCCTGTCAAGGTAAAAGAAGCATACAATTGATTTGCTTTAACACAAGTAAATATTTACACTATTGTTTTATAATTTTATGCCTTCATTTACTTAGAATTGCAGAATACTCGTGCCTTTCAAAAAATTTCTGTACCAAGTAAAAAAAAAAGAGAAACTGATTCATTTCAGAATGACAGAAGTCTTTTCAGTATAGAAAGGTTTTTTTTTCCTGGGCAAAAAGTTACTTCAGCCCTTCAGAGATTAAAACTGTCATGCCAGTTGTGTCCTTAAAACCAAAGTAACTTTTCTTCACTCCAATTCTTGAGATCGTCAGCAAATTTGCACTTTTGAAATCCTAAATGTCATAGGACCGGGAGATAAGTATATATTTATAATAGTTCAGGTGGGTAGCTGCGTCAGCATGCATAGGCTGCAAAGGAACAAGTAATAGGTGTATTCCATGCTGAAAAGAGAAGAGAGAAAACACAACGTTTCGGCCGTGGAGCCTTCTTCAGGTGTGAGGTGTGAGAAACCTGAAGAAGGCTCCATGGCCGAAACGTTGTGTTTTCTCTCTTCTCTTTTCAGCATGGAGTACACCTATTACTTGTTCCTGTACATTTAAAAGAACTAACTTCTTAGTCAAAGGCTACTGGCAGCGTACCACTGTTGACAGTGTCCTGGTCGATCATTCCTCCTTCTGCAAAGCCATCCAGGTCGTCCACCTTGACCTTCTCCCAGGGTATGTAGGTAACACCAAGATCTACATCCCAGAACTGCTTGTACTCCTGCTTCACCCCCTTGTTCAAAGCCCACGCAATCTGAAAAGATAGATCCATTCCAATTATAGCAATTCTTATTATTATTATCAATGCTGTATTTAGAATGGGTCTCTTCTGTACATTCAAAATCAACTACACTTGAAGACAATTAAAATTCCAAGTTTAGCTCCCTGGGTATGGTTTAAAATCACAAGTAATAAGCTCTTAACACTCTCATTTACAATGGCTGCCATTAACATACTGGGCAAAGAAACAAAAAATAATTTCACGCATTAATTTACCTTAATGACTTTGGAGCCAATTTTGTAAGAACCAGTACTGAGCTTCTGGCGGGCACGGTACGCATCCTGTCTGTGAACCATGCAAATATACGCACATCCTCTGGGAGGGATCATCTAGGAAAAGATTCGGAGGAAAAGCATTCAATACTCAGCAGGTATTCTAGTGTGTTCTTACACATCAGACTGCATGGCAAACTGTAGGACTTGCATTATAATAATGCAAGTCTTATTCAGAAATGATGCTGACAATGAAATCTAAATTAACAGGAGAATTGAGAAAATGTCACAGTGAAAAAATTCATATCCACAACTTGTACTTACATTTATGGATTCAATCTGTCCAAATTCCTCAAACAAGTTGGTTAGGTCTTGCTGTGTGGCCTTCTTATCTACTTGTCCCACCCACAGAGTAGTACTGCAAACTGCAAAAACAAATTACATTTTTCAACACTTTGTATCACACTATCATGTTTGAAAAGATACTGATTTACAATTTGAACATTCTGCGGTTTTAATATTATCAAGTGTTTTCTTCCTCTAAGCAAAATGCCTCAAAAACCAATAGTAGTCAGAAAACTTGAACCACACTTTTCAAACTTAATTCATTTTAGGATAGTTTGATTAAATTCTTCAGCAAAATTCTTCCCCTTCATTGGAGATTCTCTGCATTCACTCCCAATGCTGAGCAGGACAGCGTCTGAGTCACAGCAATGCAGTGTCTGCCATGTGAACTGCGTTCTCACCGCTTAGTGTTTTAGAGCGGATGGGAGGCAGCCCTTTTTTCTGTCGTTCCTTCTCTCGCTCCCGAGCCCTGCGCTCGCTGGAGTAGGACCGCGAGGACTTCCTCTTCCGTTCCCGCGATCGGGAGCGCGATCGCTTCCGGTGTTTGCGTTTCCGTGAACCAGACCGGGATCTTGACCGTCTTTTTCTTGGGGACCTGCGGATTCAACAGATGCACGCGCACGGCGAATGACTACAGGACAGCGTGACAGATGTGGCCTGGGGTTCAGAGAGTAGTCCACATGGCGTTGATAAATACTGGATTGATCCAAAAAAATCATTCCTCAGCGCATTAGTGCACATAGCACAGTTCAATGTCGAACGTTATTTTTTATAACCAACACTGTAACAAAAAATATTTCTGGGGGGAAAATATTTTCCCCGCATTGGCCAATACACTGTAAAATTAAAAATATAGTTTTAGGAAAAAATGCATTCATATTTTAAAAAAAAAAACTTATATTTAGTTATGTAGAACCACAAATACTATATTTAATGACTACTGATCCTTGCCTTTTCTCCCCATACAGATTCTTTACATCTTGGCTCAAAAATATCTTTCCTGTATCCAGACAGGGAGAATAAGGAAGACAAGATAGACAAGAACCCCTGACCTGCCAGCCTCAAGCCATTCACTTTGTTTGACTTGGTACTAGCTCTGCAGGGAAGTCGATGACACATAGTGTCAGTGCTGCCTCCCTCAGTGATGTCTTCACAAGCCTTCAAAGGGCAGGAAGTTGCTGGGGTGAGAAGACTGACTCATCCCGACTCTGTTCCAGGGGCACTGAGCCAAACTGCGTGCAGCCAACCTGGGTAACTCCAGTGACAGTGCAGCAGTCAGCTAGTGCCTCTGCTCAGGTACAAACTTGCAACGTCCAGACCTTGGAACTTGTGCCTTTTTTAATGTGTTAATCTATATCCCTATAGGGTTTCCGGTGAAGAGCAAGTGGCAGAATTTCCTTCAGATTTGTATTTATCTCACCTTGACCGGGATTTTGATCGTGTTCTTGACCTTGTGTTCACAGCCCTTTTGTCTTCTTGTTCAAAAATCTCACCATCGACCAGGTCTTGCCCTTCGTCAAGATCCATATCCTGTTTAAAAGAATAAGAAGCTGATATAAGAATACTTCGGTGCTGCAAAATTGTTATTAACATTCCTTCATTGGTAAAAATAGTACTGAAAAAAGCTCAGGTTAGATCTAATAAATAGTTTTATATAATTTCATTTTAACAAGATTAAAAAAAAAAGTATGCCTGAACTGTAAAATGGGCTTCTAACAATGCCTTACAGAGCTGGAGTTCTGATGTACATCTTACACATGTGAGGGAACTTGCCTGCTGTTGGTTATCCATCGAATCATCAAGTTTGGCTTCTACCTCTTGGAGCTGTTGTTGACTGCTTCCCTGGGATGGTGATGCCGAATTCTCTGACCCAAACATGCCTTCCTGGCTCTCCAGAGAAATAGTCTGGGGAAAAAACCCCACTTAAGTTACAGCTCTCAACCGCAACACAAGCAACTAATGAAATACAATTCATGCAATGAAACTTTTAAACTTTGATAACACCTGAAAAAAAGATCTAGCGATCAGAACAATATCTATTATCAACTTCAAATTGATAGTGAAAAATAAAACAAGCAACTGGAATAATGAACATCACAGATTATGAGATGTAACCATACTGGTCAGAGGTGGGCTCCGACCGAAAACAATAAGCAATGCGAAATGCACAACAGCAGCAGAAATCCCATGCTTTCTCCTGCCGGCATGAACCATCTAGTAATCAAGGAGAATGTTCATTTTATCAACACTTTTCAAAGTGTACACCTTCAGAAAGGCTTAATCGTTTCTAAATTTTAAAACAGAAAGTGCTGTTTGGACTTGAAATATACTGTTGTGGAAAGGGCTGCTAACGAACCCTTCATCCTGCCTGCCATTTGATTTAAAGGAGTGTCAGATGGGGGCAGCGATGTTTACCTTCTGTTGTTGCTGCTGATGCTCCAGCAGCTGTTTCTGCAGCTGCTCCAGGTTCTGCTGCTGCAGCTGCTCAGCCAGCTGATGGAAAAGGGAGGTGTTTATGGACTCTGAGACAATGGGGCTGGAAGACAAGAGCGACAGCACACTTGAGCACGCCTTGATCACTGCAGTTAAAAGGTTAGGTTACATTTTCTGTCATCAGTAAATGATAAAGCAGAGAGGCACAACTGTACTTTTGCAAACCTTTTTCTTCCTCCACAACTTAACCCCTCCACAAGTGATATCCTCATCCACATGAATAGAGGAATTTAGTGTTGAATACATAATCATTTCCAGAAGGAAATCACAGATATGCTTAGACATTAGACACAATTACACGTTAGACAAACAAGATCTAAGAAACAATCATAAAAAAACATAAAAATGGCAAACTGTCAGTTTGTAGGTGTAGGGATGTAGGTGTTAATGCCACAGTATCTAGTTTCATTTCTTGATCCTAAAACTGCATTTATTTTAATAAATACAAGGAATGAACATAACTGAACTTGTACCTAAAAGCAGAAATAGTTTTGTGCAACATGAGTGGACTCTTTATTGAGCAAACACGGGTTACGTATGGGTAAGTTCAGTGCCAGCTTGAGAGAATCTGGTAACTGTACAACCCATCCTTACATTTGAGATGTAGGTGCTTCCTTTTTAGATTCTTCAGTATGTTCAGACTCCTCCCCAAAATCAAACTGGTCCAATAGCTTCTAGAAGAGATAAAGACAAGCCCTTTACATCTGCTAACTCAATATTAAGACATTCAGCATCATTGTGCAGAACCGATACTCCATATTTACACAGAACTTTACAGCACAGAACTGCACATAACAAATTAAGGTTGGTATAACAGAGCATGATTCAGGTATTCACGATTAACAGTACAAAGTATTAAAGGACATAACCATTCAAGGGGTGTTCAGATTTTGAAAATTTGCAAAAGATCTACAATGCACAAATAATATAACTAAAAACAGGAGGCAACAAAAAGTTGAATGTGAATAAATAGCTCAGAAAACCACAAAAACATGAACTGCAAAGTTCTACTGTATAGAAAACAGCAGCGAAAAATTATGAAACTGACAAATGTTTTCAAAGCATACATGTTGGGTTGTCTGCATTGTGTGAATGGTATGAAAACAGACATTTTCCTGGTAAGATTTAACAAAAGCGACCTGTCTACAGCTTCATAATAGGTGGAAAATTCTTAATGAAATTACAGCTGAGAGTCACTTCCTCACATAGATTTCATTTCGCCTGGGTTTGGTATCAATGTGATATAAAGTCTATATCTTTTAAATGGCACAAACAACAATCTAAATTATAAAGCAACTAAAGTTAATATTTTAAGCTTTATTTATGTGGAAAGTCTCCATCGTTATTTTTAGTGTGTGTGCATCACTATACACTAATAAGAAACCTGCCTGTCAGAATAACGCAGAGGTTGACACCTTACTCTCCTGTACAAACTAGCTTGCCGCACCCCAGGAGCAAGGCCCACAGGCCCCCTTTCTCACCTTGTTGAATGAAACCCTCTGTTCCAGCGGATTGAGAGTATTGGCCGCTGCGGCCGCTGCCGTGAGCTGTGCTGTGAGGGCCTGGAGCTGGACTACAAGTCCAGCGTCCAAAGCCTGGAGTATCGAGGGCTGGGGCTTCTGCTGCTGCATCTGCAGACTCTGCACCAACTGCTGGAGCTACGGATGGAAGAAAGAATTATGCACAACAAGCAAGAAGACTAACAAGATTCTATACTGTACTCAAGAAAAAAAAACTCTAGGTCTCACCATAGTTTTAAGTAATTACCAGTTTTGAGTAAGTCACTTCCAAATTATTAACACAAAATAAAGCATTATTAAATGGAAAATTAATACATGGCTGTCAAAAGTGGATTTAAACATCTGTGTAGTTGTAAGGAAGTTACTGGGAGAGAGATACCAGACTGGAAACCAACTGACCTATACACTACTCACCTGTTGACCCTGAGGACTTTGCAGAATCTGCGCCACAGCAGCAATTGTGTCTGTATTGGATATCTGAGAAGCCCAGGAGTCGGGCAGATTCTGTACAATGTTAGCTGGGGTTGCAGGGGTAACTGGAGTTCCTGTATGAGAGGGGAAAGTTTTAGTGTGAGAAATGAACATATGTATAAACATATGTTGAACACTAACGTTTTTTTTTTGCCATTTTACAACTTTAAGAGCTACATCATGCACATAGTTTTGCCACTACAACCCAGGCACACGGCATGTCTGTAAACATCAGAATAAAAGTGACACTAACATCAAGCTTTAAATGAATGTCAGTTTGCTTTAATGTGAACATCTCAAGTTGCAGTCTTAAAGAGATAAATGTGAGAACTAAATGGTGGCCCAGAAGATAACCTGTGAATATCACAATGCTTTTATCTTGTATAACAATATACATTTAATTTTAAGACTTGTATGACAAACAGATGAAAACTGCATCGATGCACTGCATGACAAGTAGACAATGAACATTACAAGCCATGACCACTAGGTGTCAGTAAAACACCAGAAAATGGAGGAAGGGGATTAACCGCAATTTCACCTGCTGGATTCCCATCAGCGTGCAAGTTTATTTTTCATTCACCTGCCAGTAACTGTGAAGGAATTAGGCTGAACTGCTTGCTGTCAACATCAGAAAAACAGGGGGAAGGGTTTAACGCGACAAGAGCTTTCCCCTGCCTCGGGGCTCCCGGGTCTGGGCTCACCTGGAGTGGCGTTGCTGACGGGGGCTGCGGTGCTGGCGATCACAGGGGTGACACTGGGAGGCGGGAGTCCTGCGGCCATGTCCAGCAGGGGCTGAATAATGTCACTCTTGAAAACACTGTTCTTCTGCCACAGATTCAACACCCTGACAATCTTACTCTACACAAGACACAAAAGAGAGGTTTTTGAAGTTCTCAGCAGTGTGTGTGACGGTTTCATACCGAAAATGCTCAACTCTGAACCTGTGCCGTCTCAACATAAAGTATCTGAGCACTGTACTGTACTGACTTTGACATCTACTGCTTTTCTGGTTTTAGATGTTGTTACAGACATGGAGAAATGTGGCTGTTGTGCTACTATATCAATGACCAATCCAACAAACTCAAATTCTGAGTTGCAGAATGTTTGCATTAGACCCCTAAAGAACAAGCATGGCATGTTCATTTAAACCCACCAGGGTTTCATGCTTATTATCACTTTGTTCTCGTGCGGCATCCTCCTGGTCTCATCATATTTACTGAAATTTGTGCACAGCCCTTCATTTCACAAATACAGTAATTTCAGGGAGGTATCCAATTGACTCTTAGACCACTGACAGTCCTAAGAAGCAAAGTGATTAATCTTGAGCAGAATAATCTTCTCTATTTCGAAGCTTGCTCTCCATGAGACACACGGACAGGGAGAGAGAAGCTTGGAGTCAGAGTGCAGGTTCAGCCATTTATACGTCGCCCCTGGGGCAGCTGGGGTTAAGGGCCTTGCTCAGGGGCCCAAGAGAGTAGGATTCCTCTGCTGCGGGATTTGAACCGGCAACCTTCCAGCCACAGGCACAGATCCTTAGCCACAGAGCCACCGCTTATATGGTTTTATTTTGTAAATATCATGACTATTTTCATGCATAGGCTAAAAAAAGGTCACTTCCAACTAAAAAGTGGGGTACTGTAAGGAACATTTATCTAGGTCAGTGTGGGTGGAATGGGGGGTACAAATAACTTCACAAACTTTAAAGAGGAGTTGAAGAAATGTATTTGCATGAATGTAGCACAGTGCTCAAGGATTTGGTCACATTTTGCAAATCTGATGCATTGAAACATAGTCAGGATGTTAACAAAAAAGAAATGCAAAATAGCAGCTAAAAAGAAAACAAGGGAATCTCAGAAAACTATGTGTGAGTGTTTACATGTTTGGATAATGGTATAATTTGGGATATATTCACTGAGCACAAGCAGGCAACATATTTCTGTGATTCAGCGTATTTCCATAACCAGTGGTATCTTCAAGACCACTGTTCCTTCAACATCATTTATACTATTTTCAGTTTTTTAAGAATGGGCAGAATGATTTCTCATTATAAGCTACCACTTCACCTCCTAGGTTAATGTGGATGCCACTTTTATAAAGCTCAGGGGCCATATTTATACAAAATCTCCCAGTATCACCTCTGTTGTGAAAAAAATGATGTTGCAAAACCACAAATAAACTTTTAAAGTTACTTTATTCTTAAATTAACGTTTGAAAGAGATGCTTAAGGGAAAGGCGCGAGCCTGGACCAGCTTTGAAACTTTTTTGAACACAGCCTTATTTTGAGCTATCAATACAATGTAAGATAAACAAGCACACCAAAAACTAAAGCCCCAAAACGTCAGTAGCATCACTATGCCTCTACCACCTCACCTAGTAAACAAGTCCAGAAGCCCTCTATCTCTCACTCTTAAGCCCTTGCCACTACACCCTGTGATCCAAGATCAGGAAAGGTCTGATCTTAAAACAGTATGATTTTTTCAATTCAGAAGTACCTTGTCATCCGCAGGGCATCGATATAAATTCTGGAAGGTGTTGATGATATTTTTGCTGAACCGTGGAGCAAACACATCCTTCTCCTGACCAAACTGATGCCGTGACTGTCGGACAATGGAGTCGATGACATACAGCCCTGGAACCTTATACTCCGGCTTGCACTGTCGAGAGAATTAGTAACAGATTATTTTTGATACCTGAATTAACTGAAAGGTGTTGGACTATGCACTGCATAGGATAAATTAGAAACATTTGGTCTGCAGAGTCCGTAAGATTAAATCAATAAAACAATGAAAAATAAAAAGCCATCATAGGTCAAACATTTGCAACTGCCAAAGTAGCTTTGTTTCCAAAAGGCTGATATCATATGAGCAGCTTCCTTTTAAGCTTCACTAAGAAGTCACACCAAACAAAATTATGAAAATACTTAAATAATTAAAAAATAATACTTCTTGGTATGAGCAAGCTTTACACAAGACAAAATGTGTGTCAAAAACAGGGAAGACACTAAATATCTACTTGACTGAAAAATTAAAACTGCATATTAGGATTACACCTCAAGCAAAAAGATTTAAATTTAACCTTAACAAAAACACCAAGGTTGTAAACTATTGCTGTAAGTAACACGTTGAATACCTTAATTATTATTTATGCTATTCTAGGAACAAAATGACAGCAGAAACAATACAGGCAATATGTATATGTTTATATAAGTACATTACACATCCACTAATATCTAAAATATCAGATGACAAAAATTACAAATTGTGTTGATTGTAATCCTTTGAATACTCTAAATAAACTAAATGGAACTGGCAGTAAGAGTCAAATATAGAGGATTTTGTCAGAGCAACTTACTTTCTGAATGAACTTCTCCACACTCTGCACAACATGCTTGTAGAACTGAAAGAGAGAAAAGAAAATGAAAAACTTTCTATAACCACAGCTCATTAAAGGTGGTATTTTGAAACTTGGCAGACATCTCTCTCCATTTCGCCGTTTTAGGAAACGGACTTACACAAAAAGTGTTTAAAAATAATGTGAGGAAACAGCAGAAGGTTCCAATTGTTTCACTGTTACCACATACTCCAGCTCTTCCGAGGGAATGTGACTGACAATATATTCATTTCACCAAGTAATAACTCTGTATAGGGTATAGTTATACCTAACCAGGCTAAAAATGCAATAGAGTTGTCATAGCTGCTAAATATAGCTGTATGGACAGCGGGAGCCACAACTGATCTGTTATCATTGTAATCATTCTTGAGTGTTATCTGGAGCTCAAATATAGTGATCTAGGAAAAAGGGATTCAAAATGTCCTTCTTTTACCACTGACACAAAGGCATATTTTTGTTGTTTTAAGACTATAGAGGTTCTTTCCCACAATCTCTTTTTGGACGGGCAGTCTGTAATGTGACAGTTCTAAAGGGCACACTTATTTTAACTTAATTTAAGGTAAAATGGGTTCAAGAATTTTATTGAAGGATTTCCACTTATGGTATAGATTATGGCGTGAACTGCATATACTGCATTTCATCCCAAAGTGCTTTACACATAGGAGAGAACCCAATGAGCCAATATCTCAATTTATCTTTTCAAACGAAGGACAGTCCTGCTAGATTCATGCATCCCTGACCGCCGTACTGGGACATTGGTTTGGAAATTCTGCTCCAGAGAGACGGGCATCACCTACTGGTCCAACAATACCACTAACAGCAGCAACCCGATCTTCCTTGGGCTGACCAGGCCCAGTCTTGCTTAGCTTTTCAGATCTGGCAAGATCAGGCAACCCGGTAGTAAGGCTACTGCCTTCCTTCTTAATTTGACAATTTACTATGACAATCAACAAACTACAAAAAATACAGCAATGAACTATTTATTATTTCCACTAGGCATAGTCATGCAGAACATAGAACATAGAATGAAAACTAGTTTTAGTAAAAACACACAAAAAATGTGAAGCACAAATAGGTACAATGACAAAGCACAAAAAATTGTGATCTTTCATTATCTTGGTAGTGATCAGTGATGAGAATAAATTGTGTACGACAAAAACAATAGTAGGGCCTTCTTAAAATATATTTTAAAGAAAATTAAACCATACAAATTAATTCATGCAGCAATTCAATATCGCCAGCAGCCAAATCACCCTGCAACTCACAACTGGCAACCCACTGAAGCTCAGCAGGTGTGAGCCTGGTCAGTACCTGGATGTGAGACCTCCTGGGAAAAACTAAGGTTGGAAGAGGCGTTAGTGGGGCCAGCAGGGGGCGCTAACCCTGCGGCTCATGTGGGTCCTAATGCCCCAGAGTAGTGACGGGGACACTATACTGTAAACAGGCGCCGTCCTTCAGATGAGACATAAAACCGAGGTCCTGACTCCCTGTGGTCATTAAACATCCCAGGGTGTTTCTTGAAAAGAGTAGGGGTGTTACCCCGGCGTACTGGCCAAATTTCCCATCGGGCTTTATCAATTATGGCCTCCTAACAATCCCCCTCTATATATTGGCTTAATTACTCTGCTCTCCTCCCCACTGATCGCTGATGTGGGGTGAGCGTTCTGGCGCACTATGGATGCTGCACATTGGTGGTGGTGGAGGGGAGTCCCCATTACCTGTAAAGCGCTTTGAGTGGAGTGTCCAGAAAAGCGCTATATAAGTGTTATATTAATTTATTTGAGAAAAATAGCTGGATTACCCACCAATCCATTTTTGAACAGCCTGGCAATTAACAAGGCACAAGGTATTGAATATTTGGAGGGGAACCACAAACACACAGACTATTGTTCATTTCAGGTTGTAATGTTGCAATGGTCCAATGCTCGACCTAGCCAAACAGAGAAAAACTGTTTCGACCCTGATGTCAGGATAGATCCAACACTGCCCAAAAACCAGTTTCCACAACCCTACACTTATTGATTAGGGGCACCATAATGCCACTTTACTAGAAAAGGTGTACGATTTAAAAATTCCTTTGTGTTGTAAAGAAGTGCATATTTCATTTTTGATAGTAATTAGGGGCCTAACTTAACACAGGTAAAAATATGAAAAAACTGTAGCTCTGGGCAAAATAAGAACTGCATACGAGTAATCACACTTCAGCTGTATACATACTAGGACTGGGACAATCTGGTTATATGAGAATTTGCAATGTCATTAATATAGCGACAATCATTTTGGTAAGTGAATATTCTATTAACAATCATTCACGTAACACACACTCCTCTTTCAGACTTTCAATTAGCCTGAATGTTCACATACCTGTGTTTTTGCTTTCTGATAACCCAAATTTTACATGAGTAAATAAACCCATCATGATTAGATTTAGGAACAAGTAAAGGTTTATTCCATGCTGAATAGAGAAGAAAAGAAACCACGTTTTGGCTGTGGAGCCTTCTTCAGGTGACAATTTTGCAGCCGACGCAGCGACCTACTTGATGATATTTGCATTTGTGGTGAAGTCTCCCAGCATGTGCTGTGGCTAAAGGCTGTTACTATTTCTTGGGAAACACTGGGCGGTGTGATTGTCCCGGTATCAAGTTGTAAAAAACAACCTTACTTTGTAATGGCACTGTTCTTACTTGAAGGAGAGCAGTGATCAGAGACAGGCAGAAAAACCCTAATGCATGGAGAAGCCCCAGGCGCACACAAAAAAGGGAGCTGGCAGTAGGACCAAAAAGCACATGGAAATTCCGTCCAAGGGAAAAGTCAAAAGGAGTAGTAGAAGTGTTCTTAGCTGGAGAGCAGAGTTTCAGAGTGAAAGTACAACTAATCACAATCCAGAGGAGTAATCTGGAACATAGCAGGGTTCGTAGCCGGGAAATAACGGGAAGATCTGAGAGACGAGGTCGAGACGAGCGAAACAAAATCCAAAGCCACTTGAGTGGAATCCAAAAATAGGCATTCAAGGAAGCGAGGTCAAAAGGCTGGGAGAGCAAACACATACAACGCCAAGACCTAAGGCAGAAGTTCTCCAGGACTGAGAGAGGAGGTGAAACGAGGATTGGGGTCTAATATCAACAAATAAAATTAAAGGGGCGGAGCGGTGGCTCTGTGGCTAAGGATCTGGACTCTGTGGCTGGAAGGCTGCCGGTTCAAATCCCACAGCCGGCAGAGGAATCCTACTCCGTTGGGCCCCTGAGCAAGGCCCTTAACCCCAACTGCTCCAGGGGCGCAGTATAATTGGCTGACCCTGCGCTCTGACCCCCAGCTTCTCTCCCTGTCTGTGTCTCACGGAGAGCAAGCTGGGGTATGCGAAAAGACAAATTCCTAATACAAGAAATTGTATATGGCCAATAAAATGATCTTATCTAATACACTCTGTACTGGTTGTCAAAGACATTCAGATGGGACTGATTTTTGGCCAGATTGCATTGTTACGGCAACAGATTGATCGATGGATGTAACCGAGATTACAGTTGTTAGAGCAGTTACTTGGTGGGGTCTTACAGTGATCTGGCAAGAACAGGTGTGACACACTTGGTTTAATTTTGTGCGTACATATAGTACTTAAAGGGGAACTGCAACACTATTTTTATATTTTGGGGTTAGAAAGATTCCGCATTGATGAGTGCATTTCAAACCACAATTAAAGTAAAATGTACACGGTAACTTTTAAAACCTCCAATTTACATCACAAAATAGAATATGGTGCTTCAAATACCTAGAAATTTTTGTCTGTGATTCAGAATGAAAACGGCCGGTGACATGATGTGGCCTTATTACATTATAAAGAAGCAGGCTTGTGAATACATCTCTTTTAATCCAACAGAAATATTGCTTGGGACTTTGTGACAGGTTTGCCGACAAATGCAACTTACAGGGCCTCTTTATGTCACAATTTGTGTGAACTACAGTCATACAGAACTTTAATTTTTTTATTTTATTTTAGGGTATCACAAATTTGCACAATTATTTTATTTTGTTGCCGAGATTTAATAACTGGTCTGAGAAATTGGGACTGCAGTTCCCCCTAAAGTACTTCCTGGTAGATCCACAGGTGACAGTCTGTACAGTCTGTTTCATTAAATGAAAAAAATGACAGAAAGATTACTGATATGTGGTGAAATGATAAAGATCTCAATTTAGCAAAATGTTCATTGTCATCAAGGTTTGAAACACTTCTATCATTATAATAACTTTATAAACTGCAGCTATGATAATTATATTATTCTCTTGAAAGGAATACTGTTATGGTGTTCTTTCATCAAGTGCCAAAAATAACTGAGCAACAATTTGTAGAGAGTGGCTAGGATGGTTAAAAACAAAACAAATCACCAGGGTCTCACTGTATTTTCCCAGTCATACTTAAAGAAATGAAGGATGTCACTTGTAGAACACAAACTATAATATCACCGCTTTCATTTAGAAATGGGAAAATTCCCACAGATGGGAACATCTCAAATGTTCCCATCAAGTTTGAAAAGGGGGACAGAAATGTCTCACTTCTGTTACCAGTACAGTCACGGAAAATTACGCAGCTAAATCAGAAGAACAGGTAGAAAATGAGGATATTTTAATAAACATCCAATGGGAGTTAAGAAATAGAAAGAGATGTGTAATTAGCATACTGGAATTCTTCAAACGAGCAACAGAAACAGCGGATAACACTGAAACATATAACACGATACAGACTTCTAGAAAATATCTCATAAAAGGTTGATTTCTCAAATTAGAAGCCATAGGAATTTAAGGCAAAGTGCTGTACGCACACACATTGAGAACTGGTTTTGTTCACATGAAATGGAATATTATTTTAAGGGGCATGACCTTTAACTGGACAGATGTGAGCATCACTTTGCAACAGGGATCCATTTTAGCCCTGCTGCTCTTCCTAATCAATATTAACGATCTAGATTTATGTGGTTAGCAAACGAGTCATATTTGCTGATGATTTGAACTTG